ATGCATAAAGAAAATCTAGGTAGCTGCAACATTATTTCTGTGGCAAAGGAAATAATTCCTATCCATCTTCCCTATGGCAATTTTTTAATGTACCTGAACACTGATATCATGTTTCCCTTCAGACTTCTTTTCTCAGGCTGAACATTTCAAGTTTCTCCAGCTGCATTCATAGGGCATGTCCTCAAGTTCCTGTATCATTTTTGTTGCCCCCCCCCCCAACCTGTTCTAATTGGTCAATATCTTTCTGAAATATATGATGCTCAGAATTATATACAGTACTCCAGGTGTGGTCTCATTAGTGCAGTGTTCTCCAATCACAGGATATACTCCCTCAGCATTTGCATTCTTCTTATATTCAGCATAGTAATGATGGTTGTGCCTTTTCAATTTCTACTGGTTTCAATAGTGATTTTTACCTGTTTTACCACCTCATTTGATCACTGGTTGAATTACTGTTACAATTAGGGTGCTTTTCCTAACTTTGAACTAAAATCTGAGTCCCTGTTACTTAAGATTATTATTCTGTGTCCTGCATTTTGGGATAACAGGAAACAACTTTTGTTTTTCTTATATTTGTTACTTCAGTGGTTGAAAAGTGCTTTTTTATTGCTTTGTTAGTATTCTGAAGTCTAAACATTACCCAATTGAAAATCTTACTTCTTTACTTTCTTTGCTCCAGTTCCAGTTTCTCTGATACTTTCTTAAAATGTGGTGCCCAGAAACATAATTGAGCTCACCAGTGTGAGACTATTTCTTCCTGTCTTTGTAAAACTTTTGTTATTTTCAAACCACATCTCTAACCTATCAAAATCAATTTGAATTGAATTGAAACTTTAGCTATCCCACACAATTTTGAGTCATCTGCAAATCCAATAAGCATTTTCCCCACCTCTATTTTTCTCATTAATGAAAATGTGGCACAGGACCAAACTTTGAGGCATTCCACTCCAGTCTGAAGAGTTTTCAAGCCAGCTATGGATGTATTTAATGGACATCTCATCCAGCTCTGTTGCTTGCAAAATCAGAATGCCATGGGCTACTCTCAAAATACTTTCTGAAATCAAAATATATTATGTCCACTGTATTCCCATAGTAAAAGAAAATTTCCTAATCAAAAAATGAAATGATTGTGGCAAAACTTTTTCTTGACAAATCCACACTGCCTTCTGGTAATCACCACATTGTTTTCAAGGTACTTAGACATTTAACAGTTTATGATCTGCTCTGGAATCTTCTAGAATCTTCTAGGTATTGATGATAGACTATAGTCCCAGATTCTCCTTCTCCCCACCTTGTTAAAAATAGGAACAATGTTTGCTATTCTCCAGTTGACAAGCACTTCCTCTGTTTTCTAGGATTTTTCAAAGCTAGTGTATAGATGTTTGGCCAAACCATCAGTTTGTTTCTTCAAAACTGTGAGATGCTATTTATCTTGTCCTGGAGATTTAAATTAATTGCAGTTAAATAGCTCTTCTCTGATCACGTCCCTGTATCTTGCTCACTTCAGTTAACTGGCAGAAAACAAATACTCTTACTGTAGAAGATAAAGCCAGAATAGGAGATGACCAATTCTGACTTTTGGTTGTTGTTGTTATTGTCATCTGTTCATAAGTTCATCTTCCCTTAACTACTGATATTTCTTTTTGCTTTGTTAGGTTTTGAGCATACAAAAACACTTTTTGCTGTTCTTAGCAGCACTTGCAGCCTTAGCACAGTCAGATACCATCTCTTCAATTCTGTTCTCATTTTGCTTTTCCTTGATGACTTGTCTGTGTTCCACGTACTATGTCTTTATTTTCAGATATTCTCTTAAGCATTTTGTGCAATCATAGTGGATTCCTTTGCCATTTTTTCCTTTTCTTTTTTCCTTGTTGGAACTATTTACAATTGTTCTTTAATTTTCTCCTTTTTTAGAAACCCCTGCACATTTTGGACTCTTTTTTCTATTTAGCTTCTCCTGCTGTGGAATCCAAACAATTTATTGATCTCAGTTTATTAAAATCTTGACATTGAAGTTTGACATATACTTAACTATATGTAGCTTTAGTTTCTCTTAATATCAAAAGTTATTGAACATTTTTCCCAAAGACGTCCACTACTTCCACGTGTGTAATAATCCCTACTGTTTAGGATCAAGTTAGAGATAGCTAATCAACTTGTGCCATCTTATAGAGTCTAAAGAAAATTATCAACAAGGCAAATAAAATATTTTGTAAATGGGCTATGCTTTACAGTTTGCTTTTCAACAAACATTGTGAAAATTAAAGTCTCCCATCATTACTTCATAGATCTTGAAAGACCTACAATTTGCTTTTGGAAAAGGTCAGCCGCATATTCATCTTGATGGCGGGCTCAGATGGATAGAAAGGTGAGAAATTAATTGATTAAAAAAAAAAATTTGGGAAAAACTTTTTTTTTTTAAAAGAAGCCCCCAGTTCTTTTTGAAAAGAGACTTGATTATAAATATTTTAGATTGCTGGAAGAGATCAGTAAGATTGCTAATGCTAGTTGTTCTCAAAGAGTATTCAGAAGTTCCTGATTTCTGGTCACGGAGAAGGGTTTTTTAAATCTGCTATATCTTGTCATTTTGTATAATATGACAATGCAATAACTTTTATTCTATTAATCTTTTAAAAAATTACCATTTAATTTCAGCTGCCTTTAGCAGCCAGATCCTATGAGCCACTTTACAGTATTTGCTTTTTTCTGCTTTTATAGTTTTAGCAGCTTTGGAATTCTCCCATGGATGCTGATTAGGGATTACAATCAAGTGTGGTGCTGCTAAATTTTGGATTGGTTTGATGGTTTTCCTTGATGTAGCCAAAGACTACATGGATCAGATTGCCCATCTATCAAAAATTGATACTGGGAATCAAGAAGCATCCAAATTAAACATACACTGATTAGAAAGATGAGACAGTTCCAGATATTTTGAACTGATAATTATCCATTGAGCTATTATTTCCCATTACATTGCTGTAATTTGTTAAATTGTTGATGTAGTAAATAACTGTGATAAAGAAACGAGATCTAAAGAATCTTAGCATCAAGAGTGATATTTCCCATATTATTAAGACATGATTTGATTACATTGTTTGCTCTCTTGGGAAAATATATAATACAAACTGTTGAAACAATAGTAGGTTCACACATAGTCTAAGCACAGAGATTATCAATGAGTCAACTGCAGATTTGCATGACCTGCTGCTACAAATAAAGAAAGTAATAACATCTTGGCTTGCACATGCCTATATGGGTGACTTCTATTTGTGCAACCTGTCCATTTATAGTTTGCGGTAGATGTCTCCCACTGTCATCAGTTTTCAAAAGCAATGGTTTAAACAATGGAGAAATGTACAGGAATTGCCCTAAATCTCATGTGCTTCACCAAACATAAATAGCCATTGGATAAAAGGCATTTATCCATTAATTTCAGAATGAGTGCCTACGATGAATCTGACAGGGTTTTTTTTGGTAGAGATGACACTCAGTAGTTTCAATAGAAGGGAATATATGTAACTTAGGGTTCAACTGTAGAGTCCTTGGAGTTCTCTGAACTTGGTTGTTTTCATAGGGTTTTTTAATATTAATTTTAAATAGTAGTTTTTATATTAATTGTTCTGCAATGAACCAAAGTTACACAGTTTGCATTCTTTAAAATCTTAAAATCTTTTCCATAATAAAGAAACGCACATGTTAACAGAATCTAAAGAGTCAGACTGTAAAAAGTACAGCAGCCATTTCTTTTCCAGTTATTTTTGTATCTGAAATGGCAAACAAAACGTTCTAGAAACCCTACATGTGAAATTTCAATACTCCACATTTCTGCTCAAGATTTGTTAATAACACTTTGAAAAGCATAACTTAAAAATGAAACTTTTTTATTATTCAACTCAAGTTATGGGTGAATGGACCATTTTACAATAATATTACATTTTAAAACCAAAACTATAAAAAGATGCTTAATGTAATTTAAATGTGTTTTTGAAACACTGATGGAACATTTCTTTGCGGATTTTTTTTTTTTAATCCCAGTCTCATACACACACTGTCTCACTAAATTCTGGTAAATATATTTTTACAAACACATTAGGTGAGTAATTGCTAATCATGTAATTTTAAGAACAACAGTTATTTATGTTTGGAATTTCAAGACCTTTCCTTGATTTACAATTTCAGTAAAATTAATTGTTCTCTTTTTAAAGCATTGTGAAGAGAGTATATCACGATATAGTTAACATCTCAATAATATTCAAAGAAGAATCCATGGTATGTAAAAATTGATTGTGTTTATTGCTGCCTATCTTTTGTCTGTACCTGTACATGTGAGCAAAGGACATTCTTTCAGCTAGACTTCCAGAAACTGCATTTCAATGAACAAATGGGGAACTGAAGGCAGTAATTTTGAGATTATTGCCACATCACCCAAAGTAGTTTGTTTTCAGCCAGTTCGACTGCCTATGAAATAATTTAAAGAAGTAGAACACACATTAAGAATGATAGGTTTTTGCAATACAATACAGTAAGAATGGGATGCATATTTCTTAGCAAAATTTAGGAGCCATCTATTTTCTGGAACGCAGATAGGATACATCCTCTTTTTGACCTTGTAACAATCCACAAGCCTCTGACCAATGTTAATGTCTATTAAGTGACTCTTTGTACCCTTGCATAAGAACATAAAAACAAGTGCGTATTTTATGATTATGGAGCACTTAAGTCAGATTACTAAGTAAGTACCTGTAGGAAAAATAAGTGTCAATAAAGCCCTCATTTTGGCTAGACAAAATTATTTAAAATTAAGCACTCAGAGGGTTAACATATGCTTAAATTACACATAATAGCTCCTACCTCAATTGATGAAAACATTCATTGCTGTTATTCCCATTTGAAAATTATATATATATTTATATTTATATGTATATCTCAAAATAGCCTTAACCCTTTGAGGATCGTATTAGCAGCAAATCACAATCTAGACTAGGCTTCCCCAATCTGGTATTCTCCAATGTGAGGCAGAAATGCTCGGAAATTCTGGAAGGACAGTCCCACCACATCTATGGGTGTCAGGCTGCAGGAGGCTAGTCTAGACAGAAAACAAAGACCATCTCAATCATATAGGAAACTATTGTTACAAAGATACTGTAAAACTCCTTTCTGGCATCTTTGTCAAGCAACTGATACAGACAAAATCAAATGGAAAAATTGCACACGGTTTCAAGAATTGTTGTCAAAATCTCAAAGGGTTAAGCCAAGACCTTCAACAGAAGTGATGTATTAAAAGGGTGAATTGGGTGAGCGAACAGTCTCAGATGAACTTGGTGAATAGTCTTCTGATTCAGAGTTGAGTTCAGGAGGTGGTGGCTGTGGCTTATAACGTCCCCTCACATCCGGGTTGCGTCTTCGTCGGAAAACCTGCCTCTCCTTATCAAGAGCGGTGGTCTGGCAGGGGCATAAAATGAGAATAGATGAGATTAGGCTGTGCATGAAATAGCAAATCTGACTCCCATTTTTCCCCTTTTTCCTTTTCAAAGCAAAAACCTCAGCCCAGGTCAAATTAACCCCCTCTCCACCAGGTTTGGCTAGTTTTGCAAGCTTTAATCCATTACATGACTCAATTCATATCAAAGTGCATAATCCAACCTATAAAGAGGCAGTGTGATCTCATCAAGCATGTACAGTATGAGTGCATGTCTCTGTATGGATGCCATATGTTAGACTTCTGGAAGCTATTAATTTTTTCGAATAGTGGGTTCAGGTTTCAGACAAAATGCAGACTAACCTGCTTTTTTCAAAGGAGATCTCAGTTCTGAATAGAAATTCAATGCAATTTAATCAAATGAGAAAGGTAAATATTTGCCAATGTTCAAAACAGTGAAGGTATCCATTAACTACTACAGAACTATCAGACAAGAGAAAGGTATTATCAAAACGCTTCTTGCCTCTCTTACTTCATGCTCTCAGTACTTACTACTCCTCTTTCCCCTTTAACCCAGGCACTTGCTCATACATATTGCAAAAGCACACAGAGCATTTCTCCTTCCCTTAAATTTGCACTTAGCTTTCCTGTTAATCTTTTTATACCTTTTCCAGCCAACCAAACTCTACTCTCCCCCATTCTCTTCATCCCATATTGGCCATGTCTCAGTGTGAATTAAATTGCCACCATATTCCACTAACATGTCAGCTGGAGTCTCTTGGCCAATAACCTACTTTCTAGATCATTCCAGCCAGATCACCCCCCCCCCTTCCTATTTAAATATACACACAGAGAGGCTTTTGAGGAGACTTAAGTTCAAGAATTAAAAATTGCCTACTTCATATCCACAAGTACATATTGCTTTTTAAATTACAACTACAGAATTTCAAAGCCATTATTTAATCATCCAATATAATATTGGTCTTAATAAGCATGTGTTTAATTTTCAGAATCAGTCCAAGTTTTGTTAGTTTGGGATGGGTCTTTAAATGTAATCTGAATTTTCTGCATTTCCAAGAAATGGGACTGAAAGTTAGCCTATGAACTACAAATTCTCACTGTAGTAAACAAAGCTCAAAACTACTGGATAGTTTAGGTTAAGAAAGCTAAGTGAAATGTTGGAAAGACTATTATGATGGGCTGATTTTAAAAAGAATATAATCAAGGGGTTATTATACTTCAAAAGATATATCATTTTTTCTTGAGACATTCACAATTTTTTTTGTTGGAAATCTACCAGATATACAGTGACCCTGGTTACAGGATGGAAATACAGTTATAGACTGAACAATTTTGAAATGATTTGATAGATGAAAACTAAATCTATCAGGTTAGTGCAGAGTAGTATTATAGCAATCTATGTTTTAAAATAATGCAATCAGGGTCCCAAAATAATGTAATAAAGGCAGAAGATGGACATTGCTTATAAAGCAAATGGATTCAGTTAAGCTAAATTGTTCCACTAATAGTTTTATAAAGGACTAATACCAAATGGCAATAAAAGTTCATCTTTGGATCTTGGAAAAAATAACACAATAATTTGAAATAAGAATACTAAATTCCAACTGCTATAGTTTGCCAAAGATTCTTTGTTTACTGCTGGTCCTTGGAAAAGGCCTAAACAGTTTTCAAAGTTGTGCCTTAAAACCAACTTTATGATTACATTTTAATAGAAAGCAGAAGACATTTGGAATCATATTCACATTACATATAGCATTTACAGTATATAATTCTCTGTAACAAATGGAGAGAATGGCATACATTACTATTCTATGACATACAGATTTGCATTTAAAATCTTTCTGTGCACAAAAGGAGTTCATTTAAAGATTGACTCACATCACATCATTTTTATATTAATCCCAGATTCACGAAGAATTCTTTCTTCAGCAGGGAAGTCTAAATTAAAATCTCCACTGCAATCCAGAGGAACATTCTGCTAGCACAAGGATAAGCAACTTTTTGTTTTGACTTTAAGGGTGAATTAATCCTCATATTTCTATGCAATCGGGGTTAATCTTGTATAAATGAAAATCTTCCACCCTTATGTCTAATTCAACCGTTTGCTCTTCTAGCTACCCAGTCAATAAGGAACCTACACATGAGAACTATAGCAAAATCATAGTCTGTGACATCCATAATGCAGAAGTCATATATTGGCACTAACATGTTTGCAAAAATCCTTCTTGGTGCCCTTCCAGCTTTCTATTCTACTTAAATTCTAAAGATATTTAGCATTAGCTCAATTTATAACAATGTCTCAGGGAAGAAGGAAGAAGGAAGAGGAGAAGGAGAAGGAGAAGGACTGATGTGGTTTTCTACCTTCCAAGACAAAGGGTGGGATGGTAGGAAATATTGAGGTTGTATATGATGGGTCGGGGGGTGTTAGAAGAGAAGGTGTGGAGCAATTACAAATTTCCAGTGTTGCTACTAGCCTAAAAGATTGCTTATTCCCATATAGGTCTTAATAAACTCAGGTGCCAGTTGACCCTGCATATGTAGTGGCAGGCTTCCATGGAAGTTACTAACTACAGAAGTAGGTGTTAAAACTTCAGTTCCTCTCTGTAACTTTCTACCTTTGCAAACCATATTTCTTTCCAAGATATCCATACACCATTTCATATACTGCCATTTATCTTGAAACTTCTCATCTCCCTTTTCAGGATGTCATCCCTCATACAACCACAATTTTCTCACTCTTCCTCTTCCATCAGACCTATTTACTCTTTCTTCATATATTTGTTTATTCATTCTGTCTTACATAACAAAAATACCTCAACATTCTTACATCATACTAGCCATTTGTGTTCGTTTTTTGTAATCTGCATTCATTTAGCAGCCGTTTATTATTAACCTTATTTCTGCATGTTTCAACATATAGACTTAAGTACCCCATTCCTACAGCATCCAGTGTTTATCCTGACATACCCATCACTCATCTCTGCACAATAAAATGGACACCAACATGCTTATTTGCAGTCATTTCTGCCTCTATCAACAAGCATTCATTCCTTGCAACAATTCATATCACTGAAACATGCTTCTTTTTTGCAAACATCTGAATGTTTTAACTTTTCTCCATCTTCAGGAAACATTCTACTGAGGTACACAAATTTAGTTTTCATTCTACAGTGCAAATCCATCTACTTGCTCTAGTTTTTCCACTATTTATGAATAATTGCCCCATTTTCCTGTTAAGTGCAATCTTCTTGATCTTTGTTTTATTAATGAGCCCACCCATTCTCTTTATTGAACCATAAAAGCTAATATTTTCTGCAAAACATTCAGGTTCTCACCCAACAACACAATGTCATATGAATACAAAATACACCCCTATTCTTATTCCCCAATGAATGTACCTTCAATGTCATCACAAGCAATCCTTATACTATTATCCATAAACACATTTAACAAATCAAATGGCCTCATACATCCCTGTCAAGCTGATAGAAAAACTAATTACTAACTTGGATGGAGAGTGAGGGAAAGAGGACTAGATTTAATCACCTATCCAGTCAGGTGACCTCTTGGGCATGATCAAATCTAGGCTATGCATGCCATTTGTCACACTAGTCCAGATTAAAACCTAAATGAATCCAGGCAGATTTTAGTCATACACTAAACAAATACTGAAAGACCTAATATGCTAAGATCACCTGACTGGTCAGTTTGAATTTCCCTCTAAATGTAAATGTATTGAGTTGCAAATTGGAGTTAATTTAGCCACTTTGCCTAGTTTGGGAAGTGATCTTACCCATGTGCAAAAATGCTTGGACATACACACTTTCCTGGTTTGCAAAAGACTGAAGAAGATTTTTGGAGAAAAGGTTGTCCTGTACAGGTATAAACTTTAGGTTTGGATTCTCTTGTATTCAAGTTGCAATTTATGTGGTAAATCACATGAGCTATGGAAGCATATCTACTCTAAAATATATAACAAAGGAGATCTGGGTGAACTGTGGATTCACTAGACATTGTTGTTACATTCATATCATTTTGTTTACTTTTATTACACAAATATATTATATATGGAAAAAACCCTTAAATGTTGCCTGCTTATCTAAAAGAAATTATTTCAAATCCAAATGTGCAACATATAATTCTGAGTATTAATTAAGAAAAGACAATCTACAATTTATCAAATGCATTATTGTATTATTGGTATATGTATTGTATTTCAGAGATTATGCATTATGCTAAACAGGGCTAAAGTTATGGTCCCCTTGTAAGGTCATATATACATCAGAATTAATTATTATTGTATCACAATATCCAAACATTCTGCAAGAAATCCCTTAGCAGAATAGCCATGAACTTGAACTCAATTTACTTCGATTAATAGATTGAAGATATCAACTCTGTTCATTAGCAGAAGAGATGACCATTTTTAATCATGATAGTTCTATCAAATGCATACCAAATGCTCTGCATTAATTCTCCAACAATTCAGCTGTGCACATAGAACAATAGATTATTTATTTGCTATAAGAAGAGACAAAAGGAGGATTTGTAGATATCTTCAGAAGAGTTCCAAAAGGGCTTCTATTGTAACAGAAACAAAAATCAAGAAGGCTTGTGATAGCAGCATCATAATTTTGTGCACTAATTTGAACCCAAGCCTAAAAGGGCACAAGTATAGAATTTATATGTGAGCCTTGCGGCCCCATATGCGGCCCTAAAGAACTTAATGTATCTTTTGACAAGAAAGCTTTATCTAGCAGGCCAAATACTTTATGGACTTCATCTTAAAATGAAATTACAAACTGAAAACTTTTGGATTTCAGCATCATGCATAGGCAGGCTTCCTCCCTCCTCCTTTCCTTTTATATTGCGACCCATCTCACTCTCTGGGTGGCCTACAATGATTTAAACAAAACAAAATAAAAAACCCAGTAACACAGCTCATAAAACCAAGCCAGAAGCTGTTTTTGGAAAACTGAAGATCAGGTTCTGTTAAGATACC